AGCCTCCGTATGCACATATGTACATTTGCATACATGTACATACACACATTGCTTATTAAAAATGATTATATAGTGTGAGGTCTTATACCTAAAGGGGATAGTAAATCTATAGGAATTCAAAAAGTAGGGAATTGGTCAAAGTTGAACAGTAAGACTATTCTAGAATGCCTCACACTGAAACCTCACTGCTGCCTTTTTTGTTGTTTTGCTCATTTTCCAGAAAATACTCTATTTCAGCACCATTCTTTGAGATGAGAGGTTTTTATACTATTTCCAGGCTAAAATTGGTTAAACTTTTAATTTCCATAGCATCTGTACATTTTTTGAAAAAGAATAGTTTATTGATTTCTTTTTTAGAAAGAGAGTGAGAGGGAGGTGAAATATCTATCAGCTGCCTCCTGCACACCGCCTACTGGGTATTGAGCCTGAAACCCAGGCATGTGCCCTGACCCAGAATCCAACTGGCAACCCTTTGGTATACAGGATGACATCCAGCCAACTGAGCTATATCGGCCAGAGCAGCATCTTGTTCATTTTCTTTTGTGGCATCTGTTACACTGTTTATTTTTTAAATTGATTTCAGGGAGAGGAAGAGAGAGATAGAAACATCAATGATGAGAGAGATACATTGATTGGCTGCTTCCTGCACGCCCCCTACCAGAGATTGAGCCCGCAACCTGGGCATTTGCGTTGACTGGGAATCAGAATTTGAGCTCCTGGTTCATAGGTCGATGCTCAACCACTGAACCAAATTAGCCAGGCTTTCACATTGTTTTTTAATGTCTATTTTTTCCATTCTTAACTGTGAGCTCCATGACACCTTGGTTCATGTCTGCTGTTATTTACTACTATTCATAGCAGGTTTTAAATAAATCCTTGTTGGCTTATTGTATATAAGATTTTCATTTCTCAATACGATGATCTCTTCTGATAGTTCTGAGTACTATATTAAGGTTATATTGGTTTCCAATAGATTGAGTAGAGTGAAACACAAGAATTACAGTGGTTAGAATGTCAGTCCACATAGGGAAGGGTTTTGGGTTCGATTTCCAGTCAAGGGTATGTACCTGGGTTGCAGGTTCAATTCCAGGCCCTATTCAAGGCGAGTGTGGGTGGCAACCAATTGTTATCTCTTTCACATCTCTCTCTCTCTCTCTCTTGCCCCTCCCCTTTCTTTCCCCTTTTCCCTCCCTCCTCTTTCTCCTCTCTCCCTCCTTCTCTTCTACTCTTTATAAAAATCAGTGGAAAGAATATCCTCGGGTGAGGATTAACAACAAAATTTTGTATTGAACAGTTTCTAAAATTTTTTTACATATCTATACATATAAAAGCCTAAGCAACCATTACGACTGAATGACCTGAACAACTGGATGATGAATCGCTATGACATGCACTGGCTGCCCCCTGGTGGTCAGTGTGCTCCCATAGCCAGCCACCTGTGGTACCCTCCCCCTGGCTAGCCAACCTCCCGCAGTATCTCCTGTCCTCCCTCCCTCCCCCGCCAGCTGGACCCCATTGGCCCCTGGTGCTAAACCATTCCTAAACTACCTGCTTCTGGGTCAGGGTTTCATACATAGCAGAGCAGCTCCCTCATTGCAATTTATTAAAAGTCAACCCTTGACACAAGGGTTTGTCTCACTTCCATTCTCTCCCTTCCTTGGGGGCCGCTGGCCTGCTATGGTGGTGGTGTGGCGGCAAGGGGGCCAGTCAGGGAACCGTGCAGTGGTGGGGTGCTGATGACGGTGGCATCGGCGGCATCCGCTCCTTCTGTACCTGGCCTGGCAACTGTTGTCTCCTCTTCCTTCAGGCCCTGGACTGGGATGGGGAACTGGGGGGTGGGTGGTGGTGGACGCGGCCCCTTTCCCAGGGGCGCCCAGGGCTGGCTCCCACCTTGGGGCCAGCGGCCAGCCTCCTGTGTTCCCTCCCCCAGCAGGCCCTGATCCACCTGGCCCCAATCAGGACAGTCCCTATCGGCCCTGATTGCCTGTCAGGCCTAGGGACCCCGGCCGTGCATATGAACTTGTGCACCGGGCCTCTAGTATATCATAAAAGGGAGTAGTTAGTGGCTTTGAGTTGATTATTATTATTTTGGGCGGTTAAATCGCTAGAATTCCTTTTTTCACAATTTTTTCTTTTCTTTCTAGTGGAAGTAGTGGGGGAAGTGGAAGTCGAGAGAACAGTGGAAGCAGCAGTATTGGCATTCCCATTGCCGTGCCTACACCTTCACCACCCACTATTGGATCAGGTATATTATTTATTAATCTATTTTAATATGTGGTAGTACTTATGAGCTTGGTTATGGAAGCCTGAAATAATTTAGTTATATTAGATCAAATTAATTTATTTGTGTGATTGTTGCTAGAACATAAACACAACAAATTTAAGAACATTTTTGGATTAGTTTTTACACAATCTTAAGTGTGTTTTTTTGTCTGTTTTACCAGCTCTTTCTTCTTACATATAAAGCATATTGGACAGCTTTATTAAATAACTTTTTGGCCATTCTGCTTTAAAAAGAGTTGCCGTGGGCATAGTCAAGAAAGTTTATTATTTGAAGAATAAGCTAATATTCTTGTTTCTCCAACCAATGGATTAGAGACTATATTGTGAATTATGTATCAGTACATTTTGATGTTGCCTTTTAGGCTAGTATCTCAACTTGTGTTAATTTATTTTGTGACTTTACTATATTTATGTATGATATTCAACATACTTATTTCAGTAAAATACCATGAGTAATAAATGGGATTAAAAAAGGAAAAGTTCTTTTACTTTTTCGATTACATAAATGTTTAAGAAATTATTGCAAAGCATTAAATTAGTCCCTTGATTTTTTTAGTAAATGCAATGAAGACTTTGTAGGAAAATTCTTATTTATTTGAACATGCTTTACATATGGGAGTGTGTGTCTCTCTTTTTTTCTTCTTACCCAAACATTTTACTTTCTTACTGTTTCAGAATGTTTAGTTCTCTTTCTTGTACTCTGACCTGCATTATAAACTATCTTATTAGAAAACGTTTCTGTCCCTCCTCCTCCTGGAGCTCCAGCCCACCTCTTCTCCCAGTGAGCACTGTGCTAGGTGAGACTGCACAGCCATTGGAGCGATTTAACTTAACTCTGCATAATTCATAACAAACTCCTCTGTTAGACTACTAGCCTTTAAAGTTATTAGGCTATAAGTGGTAATGCAAAGGTTAAAGTGTTAAATCTAATTTGCACTAATTTCTTCTGGTGAAAGGCCTCTGAAGTTACATACAAAACAAATATAAAATAACTCTCTGTAATATAAAATGTTTCTATGCTTAGCTTATATCCAATTTAATGTGGTTTGTATTTGTTGTTTATTTAGATTTTTCTAGAGAAATTATAGCAGTGATTGTTCAAAACCATTTTTTAAATTAGTAATATAATCTTTTAAAAAATGAAACTTTATTTGGAACTCCCTGGTATATACAACAGTCAAAGTACTAGAGTGAAGGTAGAAGACAGGAGGAAGAAAAATGAAAAGAAATAGATGTATGGGATAGGGTGCTCGAGACTTTCCTGTGAATCGCAATTTGAAAAATACTGATATAGTCCAGTACTTAAGGCATCTGAGGATGCTATGAAACTTTTTTTTTCCCCAGTAAAATACATTTAAATTGTTCCCAAGTTGAGGGTGACTAGATAGAGCATATAAGGAATTCCAAATATAGACTCCATACAAAGCCAATAGGCCTAGAAATACACATTATCAGTAATCTGGGTAGAAATGTATAATGATGTGTTTCAAATAATGAGAGCTATGTTACATTTTGTGAAATAAAGCCACCTACTAGCATCTTTCAAAACATTTGCACTTGTACTCAAAGGAAAAGGGGCAACAGGAGGTAATATGAAGATCCCAAAAGAAACTGTTACAGAAAGTTTGTATGAAAAAAAAATTCCCTCAACCTGATTGATAATCAAGAAAATGAAAATTAAAACCACAGTGACATACTGTTTCTTATCTACCAGGTAGTTAAAAATGAAGAAGTCCTCTAGTACTAAATGTTGGTGAGGATGTGCAGTAACAAGAAAAAGTACATTGCTGGTCAGAATTTATTAGTTGATACACTCACTGGGGAAAGTAGTTTGTTAGCTAGTCAAGTTGAACGGGTTTTTACCTTAGATTTATCAATTTCATTTCATATTTACGCTAGAGTATTGGTTCTCAAAATATGATTATGGGACTTCTGAGAGTTGCCAAGATTCTTTCATGGAGTTTTTGAGGTCAAAACTATATTCATAAGATTTGCCTTTTTCATTCTCATTCTGGTACTGTGGACTTTTCCAGAGGCTAGATAACATATGATAAAATCATTACTTTGACAGCTAATGGAATGTGTATTTGTATATTCATGTGTTTAAAGATATATCAGTTTTAATTTCTATTACTTTTATTATAACCCACCTCAACCAAGCTTTTTGAGGTTCTTTAATTTTAAAGAATGAAGCCTAAGACCATGAAGTTTAAAACCAATGTCCTAGAGCAGTGACTTTCAGAGTGTGACACCCAGAATAACTACATCATCACTGGGGAAATTTGTTAGAAATGTGAATTTTCAGGTCCCATCTAGACTTACTTAGTCAGAAACTCTGAGGACTGGAGCCCAGCAATCTGTATTATAACAAGCTTTCAGAGTGCAATTCTGATCAGTGCTCAAGTTTGAGAACCAGTGTTCTAGAAAAATTCAAGAACCGTATTTAGGAATGCTCATAGTAGCGATATTAAGAATAGCAAAACTCTGGATGTAATCAAAATTTCTAGTAATAGAATGGATAAATTGTGGGATGTTTACATGTGAATGTAGCTATAAGAATTAATATATTGATATACTTATCAACATGGGTGAATTTTAAAAAATATCAAAGGAAAAGAGCAAGCCAACAGAATACATAATTATTTCATTATAAATTTGCAAAATCTCTGTATATTGTTTAAGATTCTATATCTGAGATTTTTTTAAAGCTATGTATAGTAAAGAAATAGAATGTTTAACACATACCTTTTGGAGTTGTGGATCCAGAGGGGGCATACAGGAAACTCCAGTGATACTAGTAATATTCTATTTCTTGAAGCAGGGTATTTATCTTATTTTATTAAAAAAATTATATATGTATTTATAAAATAGTTTTATGTAATCATTACAAATGTTATATAACATATTAGCATATAACCATTTGCATTTATGTATATGTATAATTTATATATATAACATAGCTACACACACACACACACACACACACACACACCCTTTGGTATTATGGTTTATTTTATAATAAAATATTAAATAGATTTTAAAATAGGCATCGTTTGGAACTGCTGAATAAGTTGGTTTTGGGTTTTAAATCACCAAGAAAAACAACTTGGATTTCATACATTTTTATACAGGTAGAGAAATATAAAAATCATTATAGTGAGAATTGTATTAAAAGTAGCTTTAGGCTTACTTCTTAGCTTTCTAGAAAACCTAGCTGTCCAGGGTTACTCATGAAAAGCTTTTAAATCGACTATTATTTTAAAAATGTGTTTCTATTTTGAAAATGACCACGTGGATGATTCAAATAATTAGTGACTGCCTATGGCTTGGGAGTTCCAAAATGTTAAATATTAGCACTTTTAATGAACAACCTCTGCTGAACAGTTTTATCTAATAATTTTTATCACCTCTAGGGGAGGTTAAATTAGACAACTGAATGAAAATAAACTAGGATGCTGTCTTTTTTACATAGTCATGGTTAGATGTTTAGGTCAGGCAAAAAAATAATACTGTTAATCCCAAAGTAAACTTTGGAAAGTATAGTTAACTTTAGAGGCTTTGAACTTTATTAACCTTTTAAGTATTAAACTTTTGAAATGTTGGTCAAGATGACTGAATAAAATATTAAGCATTATTAATACTTTAGTAGGTTTAAATATGCATGATAATTTTATAGAAAAGATTGCTTTGAGTATAGTATGGAGAAAAAGACCTCCAAGTATGGAGAAAGAGAATGGATTTCTATAAGAGCTTTGAAACTAGAAGTTGTACTTTTCTTAAAAATGATTTTACTATAATATGTATTGATAACTGCTGATACAATAAACATTCAAATTTTAGTACAATCTGTGGAAAATATGCTGAACTCTTTAAATTTTATAATTAAACCTGGATTTGGCTGGATAGAATCTTACACAGTTTTTTTGAAGATTTGGCAATGGAAAGGAAGAAGTTTTGTAAATCAAATATTAATGTATTCACATTAAAAGCTGACGCTTCCCACTTCAGACTATCCTTTGGTACTTATTTTGTTAGAGAGACATAATTTACATATAAAATCTGTGTGTTCTAAAATAATACAGTAAAAATGTATACGTAATATTAGCAAAATATTTGGGATTATGCTAAATTAAATGGCTTAAGAATGTAACTTTATTTACTTTTGCAGCTTCCCCACTATCTGCTTTTCCTTCTTCAGAGATGGAGCTATTTGTGTTTTATCTTTACTTTTTCTTTATTTTTGCTGTGGGCCTTAAAACTAATAAATACTTCTTACTGTGAATCTCCCTCTCTTTGTTCTGCTATTGGAGGTGATATGCAGTGCTCAAATTCTTTGTTGGTTGCCTTTGACTAATGCTTTTCAGCGGCCCCGGGCTCAGCTCCTGGTTCCCAGTATGGCACAATGACCAGGCAGATTTCTCGGCACAACTCTACCACTTCCTCGACATCTTCTGGTGGATACAGACGAACTCCCTCTGTGACTGCTCAATTTTCTGCTCAGCCTCATGTTAATGGAGGTCCACTTTATTCTCAGAATTCAAGTAAGCTTGTGCTTTGCAGGCGTACAGCACCACTGAGCTCCTTTAGAGGGAAATTATTTGAAATTGTTATTTTGCTAGTGATAGACAACAATTGAAACCATGCCACTTTATATTTATTTAGTTGTTTCTTCAATCATACTATTTAAAAAATAATTTATCACTTTCGCTCAAATAATTCAGGCTTACTGTACTTTATACTAAAATTTAACTGATGCTTTAAAATATTTTTATTATTATAAACAGAACTAGAGAAGAAAAACTGAAACTAATTAAATTGAATTTATTTTTATTGGCATATTTGAGGCTGTTCAATAACAAGAGAATTTAAAACATTGTGAATATTTTTCTTTAAAATAACATGAAATTGCTGGCTATCACTTTTAAGCTTCCTAAACTATACTGAAATGAATTCAAAACCATTAAAAAAAGATAGTGATGTTTGCTTATTATGTCTCTGAATAAGATAACAGTGGGGAGGATTTTTAAAAGGTTACTTCTTCTTCACCTTGAATTGCACATCTCAACACTAACTGCAGTCAATGTTTAAAAGCTGATAAGATTAGAAAACCGTTTGTGCATATAATGTCAGGAAGTTTGAATTGCTTGTGTTGGTTATTAATTTCACTTTCCATATCAAGATGCTTAATTCAAAAAGGAAAAACAGATCTGAAATGAGCCTATTGTCCAGTATTTGTTATTGGCTCAAAGTGTGGTCACTGGGACTAGACTGAAACACACTTTCCCCGTAAGCTTTTGTAACTACTTTCTAGAACTGCATGTTTTATTGTTGACTTAGAAAACACTGAGTAAAATTGGTAGTTACAGAATAGTCATGGGGGGGGGGGATGTGAAGCAGATAGAGAATATAGTCAAAAATATTGTAATAACTATATATGGTGTTAGATGTGTACTAGATTTATTGGGGTGATAACTTCATAAGTTATATAAATATCTACTGTGGTTGTAAACCTAAAACTCATATAATATTGTATGTCAACTGTAATATAAGAATAAAAAAGTATTAAAAGAAAATTAAAAAACACCAAATACTCCATGTTAACATAGGAAGTTGGTTTAAGTTCTTTTTATTTATAGTGCATTTTCTGAACATGTTTTTAAAAAAATATTTTTTATTGATTTCAGAGAGGAAGGAGAGGGAGAGAGAGATAGAAACCTCAATAATGAGAGAGAATCATTGATCAGCTGCCTCCTGCACACCCCCTAATGGGGATTGAGCCTGCAACCCAGGCATGTGCCCTTGACCGGAATAAAACGCGGGACCCTTTAGTCCGCAGGCAACACTCTATCCATGGAGCCAAACCAGCTAGGGCCTGAACGTGTATTTTAAAGCAGAGCTGGGCGTCTCCTTTGATAGTGAGAGGTACCTAGCGTCTGAATATTCCACAGATTATCTGATTATTAACCTCACTAGTTTTATAAACTTCTTTCATTTTACACTGCACTTTTAGATCCTATCTTTATGTTTATTTTTTTCTTTTCCTCAGTTGGACATTTAAATTTACTCTGCAAATAGAGTTTTGGTGACTTCACATAATACACGTTTGTGTAGTTTTATTTAACAGTACTTGGGTGGGTTATTTGCAGACAAGACATTTTTATTACTGAATGTCTATCTTTTGGATATTGTAAAGTAAGTTTAGCTTCACATTTTAAAGATATTATTATGTCTTGTCAAATTAATCATCCTTTAGTCTGAATTACTGTTGGTGTTGCAATAGTAGATGTGAATGTTTTTAGTGTTTTGATGTGCATATTTCCTCTTCTTTCTAAATGTGATGGTAATTATTAGTATCTTCACAGCAAAGCTTTTCTTTTTCTTGACATACTAACCAGCATGGCTAGTTACTAAGGGTTGTTTCTAGAAAAAAGAAAAACACCTGGAAAATATGTGGGGGGTTTTAAAAATAAAAAACTGTAACATTTTATTCATTGAAGAGCCTTTCTATATACAAAGTATCAGATGGAACAAGGCCAAGTCAGTGCATTAAATGCTAGTTTAGCCACACAATGAATATTAATTGCTTTAAATTATTGCTTCTTTAAACACTGAACCTCTCAAATTTTTACACTTACCAACAAAATTTTTAACTTGAATTAATTGAAGTAACTTTTTGATTACGTGATCTTTGGGAACCAATGAATTGTTTTTCTCTGTCAATTTAGTGTCACTTGTTGTGACTACCAGTAAACTGAGTTTTGTTTTCCATTCCTATTGACTTTTTTGAGCAATCTTTGGCAATTACTGTCTTGTTATGAGACAAAATGGTAAAAGTATATATATTTCCTTTTAGTTTGCTAATTTTTAATACATTTGCTGCCCACATGAACATTTGGTATTTATTTCTTTTAAATTATGTCCTCTCTAGAAAGAAGTTGGAATATTTTTCCAGCTGCTAATTTGTTAGAAATTACCTAAATGCAAATAATTGCCTATTTTAAAGTATTGTTAGACCAGGTTTTCTTTATCAAAACAGTGATAAAAAGAAAGAAGGTCACTTTTGAGAGGTATTTTATTCTTTGAAACTCAGCAAACAGTTAGCATGGGATATAGTAAATTTAGGAGTGATGTCTTTAAAAATGTCAACTTAAAGGGTAATATAACCTTATTTTACAAACAAGGGTTTTTCCTGGAGAGCTATGTGTAAATTTATATATAAAATAAGAATTTTTTAAAGGAAAACTGGTGATTGATATAGTTACTTATATGTGATCTAAACAGCTGTTTCATAACACATTTGGTTTCTAATATACAACATTACCCTAAAGCTAGAACAGCCTGTTAGGTTATAGAAATATGGCAAAGATACAATATCCTAGAAACTGCTATCAGTATTTCACTGTTAACTGTTTTTTTAGTCTTTTTTAAAAAATATACTTTTTATTGATTTCAGATAGGAAGGGAGAGGGAGAGAGAGAAACAATGATGAGAATCATTGATTGGCTGCCTCCTGCACGCCCCCTACTGGGGATCGAGCTGGCAACCCAGGCATGTGCCCTCAACTGGAATCGAACCAGGGACCCTTCAGTCCGCAGGCTGATGCTCTATCCACTGAGAAAAACCAGCTAGGGCTAACGTCTTTTCTTAGAGGTTTTCATTGCATGAAAGTGAATGTGAGGGTAAATTTAAATCTCTCCCAAACAATATAATTAGGATTAAGTTAGAAGTATTTTTTTTTCAATAAAATTAACTAATTGGCTAAACACAACTCAGCTTTAGATTTTCTAGTGTGTAATCAACTTGAAGGTTCTGCAGGTTTTTGTTTTGTTTTTGTTTTGTTTTGTTTCATTTGCAAACTGTTCTTTGCATACTTATGTTTGTGGTCCTTGTAACTGACTTCTGCTTTTTGTTTCCTTTTCTTTCCTTTACCTGTTTTACTTCCCCCATTCTGTGTTGTTGCTATCAGTTTCTATTGCTCCACCCCCTCCCCCTATGCCTCAGTTGACTCCACAGATACCTCTCACAGGCTTCGTGGCCAGGGTGCAGGAAAACAGTAAGTTTGGAAAAACTGAGCTGTCAAAGGGTAGAGGCTGTCTCCTTATAGCATGCATGGCTGATGAGTCATCATTTTCCTTACTTTTACTGAGAAGCTAATCTTATCTGAAAATAGGTGCAGCTATGTTATTGAAACTGAAGAGCACGTTTTTTCTCTTGTGTGCATGATTACTGACCTATATAAATTTCAAAATTGCAGCTTATGTATTCATATGATCTAAAACATGAAATCTGATCTTTGCAGATTCTTAAGGAAAGTATAATCAAACACAAAGGAAACTACTAGCTTCCAATAATTATTTGAGGAATTAGTTAGAAAACATTTGGTATTCAAATTCATCTCTAGATTGTTTTGTGAGATTTTGTTTATTACATAATTGGGACAGGGCTGTTGTTCTTTTTTGTTTGTTTTTTTCTTTAGTTACAAAAAATATTTTGGAGAAGACTTTGTAGTTTTCCTTAGATTTTGATAGATGAGTAATTTTTAATCTATATAAAGATTCATTGTTAGAATAAGAATGAATATGCAAGAATAAGTAAATTACATTCACGATATGTATTCATCTGAGTGATTGTCATAGAGCCCTTTTCATGTTTTGGCTAGCTACATGCAGGCCCATGAGGATTATTTATGAATATACAAATCTGTCATCTTTTTTTTTTTTAGGGCTTCTTTGAAGGAAGGTCAGGGAATTTTGAAAATTCTTTTAAATATATGGATTTAATTAGGGTAGATAGTTTATATTGCTGTCTGATTATTTTAAGGTTTTGGAAGATGTGTAATCATAGTCACATGATCATAGTGAATGTTACTTGACAAAATGAAGAATACCACTATCACAAATTTTATTAGGCCAAAATAGCTATTGAGATTAAGGTGGTAAAGTGGTCAAGTAGTAATTTACTTTATTTGGGACCATCACCATCCAAATAAATCTCAGAATGTTGTGAACAAATGTGTAACCCATTTGATCAACCAGTCTTCTAAGATAATACATTGTGGGAAATTTCATTGTTCAGCTTGTGCTGACCCTTTTGTGTTATTCTACCTATTTCCTCCATTCCTCCAGTCAAATATTTGTGGATTTAGTGTTATGTGTTAGTCTTTGGGGAAGAATACAAATAGTTTAAGACAGAGTCCTTACCTGTAAGAAATGTATGATTTAATGGATATTTTATAAAACATTGTAGTTTTAAAATACTGAAATTTCTGAGTGCAAATCAACTTTGAAATCTGTGTTTAAATATATATAAATAAGTGAATCTTATTTTTAATAATAAGCGAATAAGAGTAAATTGCTGGTCTTTAATGCTGTAAGAATTTAAAAATGAAGCCAGTTACACTTTTTGAACTGCCTTACAGCCAAGAATTTTTAGAAACTATTTAAAAATAACCATAATGAACTTCCATTTAGTATGACTGAAGCTCTTTGGTAACTTTAAATAGAAATTCAGAATTAATGTGCATTATTCTAGGTATGCCTGGCCTTTGCTAAAGAGGCCCATGGTACTAGTTTAGTTCTTTCACCAAACAGATGAACTTGAGTCAGTCATTGTTCTTGTGCTGCAGAATGCCCCACTTTATTTGCCATCTGTTTTCTTTGAAAGCATGCTAGGAAGATTGGTGAGAAACTGTATCATCAGTATCTTAAATTTATTTATTTGTTTGTTTATTTAAATTCAGTCCTCACCTAAGGATATTTTTTCCATTGATCATTAGAGAGAGTGTGGAATGGAAGGGGGAGGAGAAGGGTAGAGAGAGAGAAAGGAAACATCTATGTAAGAGAGACACATTGATTGGTTGCCTCCCACAATAGTAATAGAAAGCTTTAAGGGTTATTTGTGGGCAAAAGTAAAATAGATCCAAGCATTCAGTGGAAAAATAAGCTATAAACATAACAGAATGAGCACAAGGCTTATTTTCTAGTAGCCGTTTTCATTCCTCAACAGGATAAAATAGAAATTCACAGCATTGAAGTGGAAATAGGGCTATTAAATCTGAAAATGTTTTAAATCTTGACCCCTTGTCATATTCTCAGCACTTTATTCCAAATAGGGTGGAGTAAACTTTAAAACCTGTATTAAGATAGATTATGACTTTTTTGATCATATAAAAATAGCCTTAGAAATTGGCATTTAAGTTAGTATATTGGTATTCTGAATTTCTTCCTTGTAGCCATTATATAATTCCTGTGTTAATTTGTATCAAAACATTTTCATGTCTTTAACTTTTAAAGAAATGTGTGCATAAGAAATTTAAATTAAGAATTAGTTGTGTTTCAGTTTTGAATTCCTTAATGTTGGGAGCATTTGTTACCTGGTGTCATAATAGTTCAGTGAACACAGTTCTAGCCTCTACATTTTACCATTTATACTTTTGATTAAATTACACACACATACTACAACCATCTAGAATTGGAGGTGTGAGTTGGTTTTACTGTTTTGCATGATATAAGTTACTTTCTGTGTATTTTTTTTAAAATTATTACCACAAAACTTTACTTTTAAAATCTTTGTTTGGATGTATTCTTAGAATAGATCTTTAGGATCTTGTCCTCCCCTCATCTATGTTATGTTTTACTAGCAATAAAGCAAAAATCTTAGCTTGCTTTCTACATTTAAAAAGTTGATTATGAGTACAAACATATTAAAAAATACTCTAAGACATTTTCTACTAGTTGGGGATTTTTTAATTTAATTTTTTCTTGTTAAAATTTACATGAAAGAATAGAAAACCTATACATAGAAGCATACCTAATACCACCGACTTTTCTTTCTCCCTTAAAACAAACAAAATATCTATCCACTGGAAACTTATTTCTGGGCAATTAAAGATATTTAATCTAAAATCAGAGACATGAATATTCGCAATGAATAGCTATCAAACCATTAATGTAATATTATTCATAATGTTTACTGTAGTCCAAATGATAAAAGTGACATAAGGCTTATTTAAAGACTTAAATTAATTAAAGAGTGACAGTTGTTTAGACCTGAGCCTTGGAATTAAGGAAACTTCTTTACTCCTATAATCTTTATATAAAGAGATAGTCTCCTAACCTGCATCCATTAATTTGTAGTACTTCCTAATACCTTTATTTTTAGCTCATTTTATTATACAAAATAATTCTTGAATAGTGGAAGCTTTAACACACCAAGCTTTTATTTCTAATCTTGCATGTTTTATTATAGTGCATGCTTTATATGAATTAGAGCTTTCTTAAATTCTTTTAATTTATGAATTTCCATTTAGTCTCTTTTTTTATTCAAATTAATTATCTGAATTTTTTCTAGTTGCTGATAGTCCAACTCCTCCACCACCGCCTCCACCAGATGACATTCCAATGTTTGATGACTCTCCACCTCCACCACCACCACCTCCAGTGGATTATGAAGATGAGGAGGCTGCAGTAGTTCAGTATAATGACCCATATGCAGATGGGGATCCTGCGTGGGCCCCTAAGAATTATATTGAGAAAGGTAAGGTAAAATCATCTATTAGAGTAAAGGAAAATAATGTAATTATAGAATTTAGAGCTATGAACAACATTTAATCCAGTGTTTCACAATCTTTTGAATAACTTTACCAGTCAAGGTGATATAGTCAAACCTTATTTCCTATACATTTCCAATTTGAAGAGAGGATTCTTTATATTTTAAATTAAAAATATGTTATAATGTTAGCTGTACATTTTCAAATGACATAGTGCTTCTAGCTGGAGATTAACTTGTCTGTCTGCATTTTATAGATGAAGCAACTAAGACACACACAAAAAAGGAGTGAAATGATTTACTAGTACTAGTCATATAATTAATAATATTTAAAACCAAATTTCTAAGCACTTCTCATAAAAATAGGAATCTTTTATCTCTAAATACTTTAAAATCTGTTGGGATTATTATGAGAACAAGCTTTCAATTAAGGTTTTCATTAGTTGATCTTACAAAAGAGAAGATAATCACTAGAATTTTATATCGAAGTAATGTGTAACTCCAATGTCCAAATTTACCTATTTTACCTGACAGTCACCTTAATTATCTTTTAAGAACAGTGTGTAGGAAAGAAAAAGTCCTGTTTTTAGAGAGTTTGCTTTTTTTAATCCAATTATGTGCTATTTAAAAATCTGTGTTTGTATAGTCTTCTGAAAAATACTTGTAATTTAGTTGATCACATTTGATTACATTTGAGATGTATTCCCTTCCATTCCCTGTATTGGATTAACTGATCTTAAGTAAGTAGCTGTAGCTCTTGAGACGTGTTCCATTCTCCCCTGCCCAAGTTTTAAATACATAGCTAAAAGTAAATTTTCTACTTTCCTTTTTTATATTTTTTAGTAGTAAATATTCTGCATATAGTTCAGGAAGTCTTGAATAGTCTACTTTCTATTAAGATTTTTATGCACCTTCAAGTAGAAATAAGTTGTGCTTATTCTGAGGGTGATAAACTTGAATAGTCTTGAATTGTGTTTTTACTCATATTTCTGGCTTAGAAAGCAAATTTAACTTTTAAGTATTTATGAAATTGGAACTATTATATTTGAAGAAGTTGAAAAATTGGGAATGATAGAACAGTGAATAACCTAGCACAATTAAAAAATATCTTCACAAGTTGAAATGATGAGTCTTAAATCAAGGTTATTACATATTTTTTTGTAAAAGACCAAATAAACATTTTTAACTTATTTTATTTGTTAAATTTTTAAATATGTTTTTACTAGTAGCCCTGCGCATGAATCCGTGCGTCAGTAGCTCTCTGTGGGGCCTTACCGCTCCATGAATGCTGCCCAGGATGACGACCAAGCGTTCCGCGCCCTGGCCTGGCCAGAGGCCCATCCGCGGCTGGGAAATGCAACGACTTTCCTCCCTGTTCTCTGGAACACCGATAAAGGGCTTCCTTCTTCTTTCTTGGCCGGCTGCCACCAGCCCCTCCTGTCACACTATCCTTCATCCCCTCCACCCCCTGGCTGCCCGGACCTGACCTTGCCCGGGAGTCAGGGGACACTCAACTCTGCTCAGCTCACTGGTTCCTTCTCTTCTTATGCAAGCGTTTTGCGCCCTGGCCAGGCCAGAGGCCCATCTGCAGCCGAGCGCGGAACGCTTGTCTCATTGTGGTGGCGATGAAGCAAGCATTCCGCCGGGTCACTTACGCCGCCTGCTCTCAGCAGCTGCCTCACCGGGACTGGGGATCTCCGGCTGGGCTGAGAGGACTGCCTGTATTAAGATAGATTATGTGATGGAGTGACAGTTAATTTGCATATTACCCTTTTATTATATAGACTTGATTTCAGAGAGGAGAGGGAGAGGGAGAGAGGGAGAGGGAGAGAGAGAGAGAGAGAGAGAAACATCAACGGTGAGAGAGAATCATTGATTGGCTGCCTTCTTCATGCCTCCTACTGGGAATCGAGCCCACAACTCCGGGCATGTGCCCTTGACCGGAATTGAACCTGGGACCCTTCAGTTCGCAGGCTGACGTACTATCCACTGAGCAAAAGCAGCTAGGGCAATAATTTTGTTTTTTTTAACCCTTTGTGGTCCAATTTTAGTTTTGGAATTCAAACAGTCTGGTCCAAATTAATTGATGGGATTGAATGTTGAAGTTACTGACAATGCATATAATCGCAGCAGTTTGTGGTGTCGACCTCAGCTCCATGTTGGACCTGCTTTTCCTCTTTTTCCCCCCATAGTTCCCATCCACCTAGTTCTCACCCCCCCCGCCCCAGGTCCTTGCCCCTCCCCACTGTCCTTGTTT